TTGTAACAACAAATGACTACTCGACTTAGTTTAGGTTTTTCAAGAGATATACCAAGTACTCATTTTGTTCGACTGTGTTATTATATATCAACACATACAATAGACTTTGTAGTTTGTAAGATCTATCACCTATATATATATAGCGGTGACTTTCCCTTTTTCCTTTTTTCCATTTGTACATATTCACGTGTTCTCTACAACTCGAACAGTAAGACAATATATGTAACTTCCTCTGTTTCCTTTCAATGCATTCTGAACTTATTGTTTCATGTAGAGGAATTGTCTTGCAAATTGACTCTGGCATGGATTCCAAGCAAGGAAAAAAGACGAAAATTAACAAGAAATAGCAGAACTAGCACGCCGACAAACGCTTTCTACAAGACCGCACTGGTGTTTAGCCCTACCAGGGAGGCATAAATACCACCCTTGATACTGATCAAAGTTTCATGATTTCCTTTTTCTGCAATGACTCCATTTCTAACCACTGCTATTAAGTCGGCATCCTTAATTGTGGATAGCCTATGGGCCACTACCACTGTTGTTTTGTCCACCATAACCCCATCCAATGCATCTTGGACCACTTTTTCGGATTCAGCATCCAGAGCACTAGTGGCTTCATCTAGTAGTAATATCTTTGGAGCCTTCACTATCGCTCGCGCTATGGCAACACGTTGCTTCTGTCCGCCAGACAAGTGGATCCCCCGCTCACCTACTGTGGTATAATACCCCTGCATTTCAGAATATGTTTTAATTGAGGATTGCATTGGTTTTCGTATGCACATGTTCAGCTTTAACCACAAATCAGATCAGCGTATGATACAGAAAAAAAAAATTAATAACAGAGAAGATCTTTTGCTGTTAGATTTGGTGTAAATAAGCGTATTATGTGAGTGATATAATGATCGATCTCTTGCGTTCATAAACTATTTTAGTAGATGTAATGGTTGAAAAATTTTAGAAGTCGTCAATCATAATAAGAAATTTTAAGTGATTAAACCTGTTGTAAACCACTGATGAAATTGTGAGCATTTGCCAACTCTGCTGCAGCCAAAATTTCTGCCTCCGTTGCATTGCCTTCCTTTCCGTACGCAATGTTGGCCCGGATTGTGTCATTGAACAAGACAGGCTCCTGATTCACCAGGCCCATCTGTTGCCTTAACCATTTCAAATTGAGCTTTTGGATTTCGAGTCCATCGAGTGTGATGTGACCTGAATCAGGATCATAAAATCTTTGCAACAAAGAAATCACGGTTGATTTCCCACTCCCACTTTCTCCAACTAGAGCAACAGTCTGATAAACATGAAATTCACACTGTTAAAACTTTTAAATACCTAAAAATTGACTGTTAATTTCAAATGACCTCTGTAAGGCTTAATTGCCATCAATTAGATAAGAGAATGCATCTAGGAAACTGTATTAAAGAAATTACCTTGCCAGAGTGTATCGCCAAGAAGAGATCGCTGAATATTTGAACATCAGGTCTTGCAGGATACTTAAAGCTGACATGCCGAAACTCAATATCTCCCTTCACATTATCTGGTGTTGCTCCTGAGTCTCCGGAAGAGTCTATATCTGATTTCTGGTCAAGAAGAGAGAAGACTGAGGCAGCTCCACTCCTGGCTTTACTAGAGTCGGGAGCAAGAGAGCTTGATTGAGATATTCCAACTGCAGTCAAGGTGAGACCATAGAAAACCTGTACACCATAAGAGAATAGAGGTAAGTACTAGATTAAAAATGGAAAGCAAAAACCAAGCCACATATTATAGCTAATTTGAAAGTTAGACAACCAGACATGGAAAAGGTAATAAATATATTATTACTCTGAATAAATCTAGTTGTAGAAACTTACCTGGAAAACTTCATGAAATGTTGTCTTGCCAGCGTCAACAAGCTGAGCTCCAGCATAAAAAGTGGCAGCATAAACCAAAAATAGGAACAGCATTGATAACCCGAAAGCTGCCCCACTAATGAACCCCTGTTTTATTCCAGCTCTCACCGGGCCTTCAGATTTCTTGTGGTATAGTTGCATTACCTTCTCCTCAGCACAAAAAGAAGCAACTGTTCTAATACTCCTTACTGCATCACTGGCAACTTGACTTGCATCCTCGTACAATTTCTGTAAGCAAGAAAAGAATTTCCAAGTTGATCAATAGGGACTAGAAACACTGATCTCATAGTAAAGACAAATCATCCTATATGCGCTTGAACAGATACTTTAAAGACAAAGTATTTACTAAGTTTTGAGTGATGTCATTCAGAATTGGAAAATGTTTAGTTGTTTGATGCAATCTCTCTCTGTATCTCTCTCTCTCGTTTTTCATCACCAAAGGTTTGGAGCTAACCTTTGCGTCCTTACTGAACCCACTTAAAAACTTCATGTGAAAATATCCATTCATTCCTATTAGAGGTAGCATAGCAAGAATTATAAGAGCCAATTGCCAACTTGCTTGGAAGCCGATAATTAAACCAGCAATAGCAGTTGCAGTATTCTGAACGAGCAACGCGAGTGTGTCCCCAATCAAACTTCGCACAGATGTTGCATCTGTAGAAAGCCGTGCACTGATTGCACCAATTGAGTTCTCTGTTTTGTCAAACCAGCTTATCTCCATGTGAACCAATTTCTCAAAACACATTAGTCGCATCCTTTTTATCAATTTACACCCAGCCACAGAAAAAAAGTATGTTCTTAATGAGGTCGCCAATAAGGATAGCACACCAAGAACTACAAACATTGACGCCCAGAATTCTGAATCCTTTCGAAGCTTATGAGCTGGCTCATAGAAGATCTTGATTATGATGGAAAGAAGTACCCCAAAGAGTGGTAGTACTACACCGTTGGCCACCGCAGCTGTAGAACCAACCAGTAAAACTGGGATCTCTGGCTTGTTCAAGTAGGCCAACCGGCGAAGTGGGACTTCTTGGGCCATTTTTGATGGTGCTAAGGCCATAGATTTAGATTCTGCAAGCGATGTTTCAATGAAACTGACTGAGGTTGGTACACCCATAGAAACTGAGAATGAGTGACGACTACTGTTTCCATTTCCAGATGACCCCCCACTTATGGATCGTAAGAAAGATATTCGCTGACTTGGATGTCTTGGAGAATCCAAAGTGATCTCTGATCTGTCATCACCATTTACAACATGATGTTCTGATTCTTTGTTGAGTGCTTGCAGCCTTATAAGCTGGGAATATGCTCCTTCAGGATCTTGCAGTAGCTCAGTGTGCGAACCTGATTAGTTGAAATAGATTAAAATTAGCAATGTCCATCCGAAGAAAAATGAAACTTCCTTATAGTGCTTTATTTTTGAATACTCTGCCATCAAGTATAAATATCGGTTATTAGTTGAGACGACACATGCTACAAACTTGCGGCCAAAAGTAAATAAGGCAGTATCTGCAAGGAAAATAAAAACCTTTTTCAATAATCTTTCCTAAATGAATGACTGCAATCTCATCAACATTCTGTATTGTACTTAAGCGATGTGCTACAATGACAGTAGTTCGGTTAATCATAACCCTGTCCAATGCCTCTTGGACAATCCTCTCAGATTCTGCATCAAGAGCGCTTGTTGCTTCATCCAGAAGTAGAATTCGGGGGTCTTTCAGAATTGCTCTAGCTATAGCAATTCTCTGTTTTTGGCCCCCAGACAGCTGATTCCCATGCTCCCCTACCATGGTGTCCAGTCCCTAAACACATTAACAAGAAGCTGGAAAGGTAAGAATGTTTAGCATGATCAGAAAAAATGTATACGGCGCAGAATAAGAAAAAGAAGAAAAAGGAAAAGAGGGGGCTGAAGTGGAGGAAGGGAAATGGTATCTATATAAATCAAGTCTATTTCTATCTTTGTTGGTACCAATCTAATATGGGGCTAATAGAATGAACTTCGTGTTCAGGGAGGGAGGGAAAGGAGGGCAGGGGGCAGGGATGGACTATATGATTGTAGAATAAAGACAAGATTTCAGAAAGAGTTGTAACTTTAATGTCATCTATAAACACAAAGCAAAAAAATATTTCGTACAGATACGATAGTAGACCTGAGGCAGTTTATCTATGAACTTGGTGGCATTGGCAAGGTCACATGCTGCTTTTATTTCTTCAATGGTTGCACCATCCTTCCCATAGGCGATATTGTCTTTAATGCTAAGAGTGAACAACATGGGTTCCTGGCTAACAAGACCAATTTTGCCTCTGATCCAACTAAGCTGAAAATCTTTAAGATTTATACCATCGATAAGGACTTCGCCTGCTTCTGGATCATAAAACCTCTCTATTAGGTTGATCACCGTTGATTTCCCGCTTCCACTATGTCCAACCAAGGCTGCCGTTGTCCCACCGGGTATTGAGAGTGAGAACCCATTAAATATTTGCTCATCAGGTCTTGCTGGATAACTAAAACTAACATCTTTTAGTTTGATATCCCCATGAATATCATCCAATTTCTTGCCAATGGTGTTGTGGGGGTCTATTTTTGGCTTCCTATTCATTGTTTGGAACAATTTAAATGCAGCAACTTTTCCAGCAGCAAGTGCACTCAGGCAAGGAGATGCCTGACCTAAAGAACTGCAAAAAATCCAAATTTGTTGCAATTTGTCTCAAACTTTTTCCAAGACGTCCAATATACATTTTATGCTATACATGCAAACAATTTTTTTGTTTTGAGAGTTTTGAACATCATGATTCACCATGTTGGAAGAGGATACATAAAATTAATAATAATAAAAGAAAGAAAAAGAATGCCACTCACAAGGAGCCTGTCAAAACGGCAACAATTACATTAAAAACTTCTCCTCCTGTATAGTCATTGTGTAATATCATCCTTGCGCCATACCATACAGCCAAAGCATAACTGCACAATATAACACACATAAATACACCAGAACCCAACCCAGCGGCCAAGCCCTCTTTCACACCCGATTTGTAAGCTATATTGAGGGACTTGTCATATTTAGTAATAGCTTCCATCTCCCCTGTAAATGATGCAACCTGAATTGGATGTCAACGGTCATGAACATAATTCTGAAAAACGAAATGAAGGAAAACGCAAAAAAGAAAGGAGAAATGAAAAGTTAAAACTTTTTCTTGGGCAGTTGCTCCTACAGTTCTGATTGAGCCAATTGTCTGTTCAACCACAGTGGCTGCTTGCAAATAAGCGATCTGTCCACGGGCTATTAGCTTGGCCATAAGGATGGTCATGGCAGCAGCGGAGATGACAAGAGGAGGAATTGAAGATAACATGACAAGGGTGAGTTGCCATCCCTTTGTAAAAGCTATTATGAACCCTCCCAAGAATGTAGATGCCAGCTGTATAGCTTTCCCAACCTGTTGTTTGGTCAGTGGTAGAAGTATCAGTATTCAGTAGTTTAAGCTTGAATATGAGTTAAGTCATGCTGATGATTGTGGGCTTCTTTGTCCTAGTAGCAATACCTTTTCACCTATGGCATCTTGAATAATAACAGTGTCATCTGACATCCTCTGGATAATTTCTCCCGTGTTGGTGCCCTTATCAAAAAATCCAATATCTTGTCTCAGTATAGCTTTTAAGTATAACCTTCTAATCCTCGCAGCCTGCCTCTCCCCTGTGACCATCCAGCAAAACACCTCTGCCAAGAAGCAAGATGGGTTTCTCAGGTTCTCAAGTCAATCTATCATCTACCCTACCCTATCTCATTCAAAAATATTAATCTTTATAGTAGTATACAAAGAGCATCATCCACTTACGGGAAAATGAAGCGACACCATACCCCAGAGCCAAGTACACATACTTGATAGATACCTGTTGGCCAATTTTTGAATTAGCGAGGAGCACCAATACTGTAATTAGTTTTAGTGATCCATTTTTTCACAGATTTCAAGATGAAGACGACTCCACACATTGCTGAAATTTAAAAATAAATCAATGGAAGAACACCAGTGTTGGGATTACATTGAAAACAAGACAGAGAATCTGAATATGATGCAACTCTAACATAGGGAGACGGAGACCAAATTAGTTTGCGCAGTTTTTATGTCCCAATTAGAACATTAATTTTTTTTTANAAATTTAAAAATAAATCAATGGAAGAACACCAGTGTTGGGATTACATTGAAAACAAGGCAGAGAATCTGAATATGATGCAACTCTAACATAGGGAGACCAAATTAGTTTGCGCAGTTTTTATGTCCCAATTAGAACATTAATTTTTTTTTATTATTTTATTGATCTGCATAAGATCAGTTTTGAAAAGTTAAGCAGGGATCATCTTAATGCAGCTGGAAATATATTATACCTTGGACACTGCATGGCTAACTTTTGTGGTATCTGTGGCCTCGCCGAATGAATCGACCAACTCTCCAAATATCACAGCCGAAAAGGGCATGCAAAGTCCACTTGCTACAGCGGTGATTGTGCCAACAAGCATTAATACATGGTCAACGGAATCAGCAAAGGAGAACAGCTTGTAATATGAAACCGTGTTAGTGTTTTCCATCTGCCTTTTGCTCTTATTTTGAGCCACCGTCGCCAAAGCAAAAGTTAAGAGTTTGAATCAACAACCTGTCATCAAAGCTTGAATCTGATATTAGTAGCTACCCATTTCAGCATTACCAAGAGAACATGAAACATCCGACCAAACTTGGTTGGTTAGGAATGTGTCTTCCTTGAATATATATATAGATATATATATATAAGTTTGCATTACCATATATATTTATTTATTTATTTATAAATGCATTAAAATGAAATTGAATTGGCGAAGCAGATCAGTGACTCCATCTCCATGTTGGACTAAGTTGAATCAAATTTTCCAATATTATTTGAGTTATACTCAAAATTGAGACTGCTGTTTTTATACCACACAACAGGCATCGAAGTTCAAAGAACATAGAAGCTTGCCTTACAATTCGAAATAGATGATTGATGGCATCTGAAAGAAAACGCCAAGAACACTTCCACCCTCAGAAATCCACAAGTTAGTTAGAGCAACAATATGAAATGGCCAAATATTTATTTAGAACATAAATGATAAAATAATCTAGGCATCAGTGCAGTTTGGTCACTATTTTGGCACTACCAGAAGAATCAGAATGCATCTTTTTTCCTTTAAAATGGCATAGGTTTTTTTTTAATTGTAGAGAATATCCAAGTGCCAAGGAAGGAAGTCTATCAATTATGAGGAAAATTAACCAGGACCTAGTTCAAGACAAGAACTAAATCACCACTGAAAAAATCTATCCAACTTTACAAGAAGTTCGACTACGTGTCGAATTATTGGTGAAAGAAAGAAAACAGAGAATCAGAGGTCCCTAACAATAAATTAGACGAAAAAAAGAAAATAGAAAAAAAAAAAGGGATTGGCTAAAGCAGCATGAGCTGGTCGATATCAAAAGAAATTCCCCACCCACCCAGAAGCATAACTCACCTAAGACCATAAAATGGTTACTCCACTCGATTGGAATCCCATTGTGTAAAGTTCCCTAGGCAAGTGAAGTGATGCAGCAAATTGTCCAGTTTCATTCCACAGCTAGCACATAAGCCTGATCAACCTCCGATATATATGGTCTCCACTCCATGCTTGCAGCTGCAGCAATTCNCCATTGTGTAAAGTTCCCTAGGCAAGTGAAGTGATGCAGCAAATTGTCCAGTTTCATTCCATAGCTAGCACATAAGCCTGATCAACCTCCGATATATATGGTCTCCACTCCATGCTTGCAGCTGCAGCAATTCCCTGGTAACCAACAACTTCAATATCTTACCAGTTATTGCCTAACGCTATGCAGTGAGTTTCAGTCGATAAAATAGGTAGATCATAGTCACACAATAACCTATAGGACTGCACTTGATGAAAAGTTCATTTTAGTTTGGGTACCTATATATCTATATAAAAAGTTGTCAGTCACAGTCAGTCAGACTACTTCTCTTTTGTATATGGTAACCAAGACAGACATCCAAAAATATACACTGATTTTCCTTCTTTAGCCATAGTCTTCTTAATGTCTCTAATACATCCAAATCAATTCAATATAGTTAAACCACTCAACGTGAGAGACTTCCGAAGGCTTCTAATTAATCACTACTTGAGATCTGTAGGAATTAACACTCAATGGAGAATCTGAATCTGGATGTGAGCCCTCCAACCTCTCGACTGCTTTTCTATACATGTCCCTAGCAATTAGGTACTCAACTCAACCCCTAGGGTCTACTTCTTTCTGACTTTGGATCTTTAATTCTGGTCTATATGTACTTAATTTAGGCACCTAATATAGGGACATAATAATTTATTACAATTCTTGGATTGGAAATGGACCTTGCTCAATATTATAACTCAAGTAATTCAATGATTGCAACGAATTAGTTCCCTAAATTATGCTCTCAAATTAGGTCCCTACAACATTGTTCATAATTCCTTCCTTGGGTCTTATGACCAAATCGAGAATTTCAGGTGAATCACACCTAAAGCCCCTCTATAATATAACAAACGATAAATGATCAATATCGATAAAATATTAATGACTCGTTTTGTTGTCATAATGCAAAAAGAATGATCGGATTGGGGAATTCAATCTAGTACTACATAGATGTCTAAAACACTAACTTTATGGTACAAGAATAGTACACATTTTGATTATTTGTTTGGAAATGCATAGGTAAGAGGTGAATAAATGTTAGATGCCGTTTACTATGTTTCATTAAGTCACTTATTCCATGGTATTAATGTCACATAGTTACTTACCAGGAAAAAAAAAATCGTTACACATGCAAAAATACAATATACTCTAATCCAATACCTTGTTTTGTACATCAAAATTGCATAGGACTAAATTAGTAGGAATATATATATAATATAAAACAGGACAGACTTCAATAAGTACATCTGACAGTTTCAAATAGATTCATTCAGCGGCCATCAACATCACTCTCAAAATCATTCACATTGAATTTCTCTCTCCCAAATTTATTGTTTATTACTNAGGAATATATATATAATATAAAACAGGACAGACTTCAATAAGTACATCTGACAGTTTTAAATAGATTCATTCAGCGGCCATCAACATCACTCTCAAAATCATTAAATNTATATATATATATATATATGAACATTATTTGTAATGCTTATTCAGGAGTAATATTGGAGTCAACTTGCAGTAAAGNTACCTTGTTTTGTACATCAAAATTGCATAGGACTAAATTAGTAGGAATATATATATAATATAAAACAGGACAGACTTCAATAAGTACATCTGACAGTTTTAAATAGATTCATTCAGCGGCCATCAACATCACTCTCAAAATCATTAAATTTCGGATGATGACTCAGCACGCTAGTTGTCACCATAACGTTGAATTAGAGTGCATGAAAGGATGCACAGACTACATAACATCCACACTACGAGAGTCAATAGCTATGATACTATTTTGTAACGTCTCGACTCAGCAAGACTAAGGCTGAGCAATGGTATGGGCCCAAAGCGTTACAAATGGTATCAAAGCCACTGGTCCTCGTGGTGGGACGCACAGTTTGTGAATTCCTTGATGCACCCTGTTCCAGCAGGATAGTGCCAAACTAGTATGGTAGGAGTCATCCTTTGAAATCCCATGTCAACTGGGTCAGGACAAGTCTTAATCAAGGACGATTGATACAAGGGATGGATCATGATGACTTAATTACGTGGACCATTTTGAGTTATAGTTTAGCTTCTTTTTTTTCTATATATTAATTTCTAATAAATCTTAGGTCTCCAAAACCTTTTGTTAAAAGGCCTCATATTTTTTATCACACTAAAGAAAAATTAGAAATTAATTTGTGATTAGAATTTTTGAAAATCTATACGTGCGAAAGCTGTGTAACATGGTTTGACAATGAGTAGATTGGATTTCTTTATAGATTCGATTCGATGGTAGAAAAATAGTGAGATGAATAATTTGATAGGAAGTGTGTTGTATGTTATGTTTTATAGTTACGTAAAAAAATTTCAGTGCTATGATTTTTAACTCAGTAGGTGACTACAATATTTTTTTATTCAGGCATTTATTTTTTGACCTTTCTTCTTTTCTTTTCACGATTTTTAAAATAAAAATTTAATTTTGTTAAATTGTATGAAATACTACATTTTCCAAAACCAATCAATGACTGTGTAACAAAAAAATGATTGTTGGTTTTCTCATCCCATTGCTATAGAGATACACACAACAATCTAATGATTAAAAACCAGAGAAGATCCTAGCCAAAAAAAATTCAACAGAAGATTAAAATTATTCTAATAAATAGACTTAATATCAAGCCATAATCATCATCATAAAAGAAAAAGAATAACACAAACATCAATTTCTTCACTGTGGCTTTTCACGGTCTTTATCCTGCTCTATTTTCTATACCAGTCTTTTAACTATCTTTATCCTACTCTATTTTTTATACCAGTTGAGCACGTCAAATAGCATTTTATGAATAAAGAGGACACTTTTAGCATTAAATTTAAGGTGAAAAATTCTCATATGGTGCCTCAAGAATCCACATGATCTCAGCAACCAGATACTAATGTGGGTCGAAATTTTAATGGGTTGATACATACTTTGCATTTCACTAAGGGATGCCCAATACCTTTTGAGCAGTAGTACTAGAACCTTTCTAGAAACAATGTCTTGCACCTGCTTCTATGTTCTAAACCTCTTAAGCCACTCACAAAGGTTGAGATTTGAAAGCACAAGGTCATTCTTGGAGAGTTCTTCAAAATTTTTTAATACACTGTCCTAGTCGTCAAGAACTAAACAATTCATATCATATTTTCTCCAAGTCATAAAAAAAAAAAAAAAAAAAAAAAAAGGAAAACTCCAAGACTCGGATGTTTAAGCTTCTTCACTTTTCTTATTTTGTTCCTTTATATAAAATCTAAGTGATACTTCACTTGTTAGATGGTAAAAAGATAGATGAAAAGATATGCGGTCGAAATAAACTAAAAATGGCATATCTAGTATGAATAAAAATGGAATGGATAAGTGGGTTTCTTGAAGTTCCTATGTTTTGGTCTCTGTCAAGTTTGGTCGTACATTAATATTAGATTACAAATAAACCTTTAAACTTAATTAGACTATGATCGTTCAAAATCAAACCAAAAGAAGAAAAAATGACCCGAGCTTTTTGACTATTTTTGAACATGAACTTAGGCTTAAGCATGTCGTAGACAAAAAATCAACAAGATCAATCAATAAGGGGAGAAAAAGATCAAACAATTGAGAATGCAAAAATCAACAAAATCAAGCAACTCAGACAAACTTCTACAAGCTAGGAAAAAAATCATCTCATTAATAATCATGCAAGATTAACCAGATTATCCTGTTTCACATGAAAAATCTGATTGCTCATTCCAATGATTTGGAACTATAAAATGCAAAATTAGAGTACGTTACATATTCCCATTAGTATATAGAAAATAATGAATCACCAGGCCAAAAAAAAGAAAGAAAGATCATCTACGCATAGCTTACCCAAGA